TAAGCATAGATAGATAGATAGATAGATAGATAGATAGATAGATAGATAGATAGATAGATAGATAGATAGATAGATAGATAGATAGATAGATAGATAGATACATACATACATAGATACATACATAGATACATACATAGATACATAGATACATACATATAATATGTTGTTAATTTATATTTTTCGTTAGTCGCCAATATGTTGATACTGAATGTTTCAATATCAAGACATTATATTTGTTTTCTGACAAAATATCTGAGCTTGCACAATATCCTCTTGACGGAGTACAGCATTATTAACCTTTTGTTAAACCTAACCACAGATGGAATGCTAGATGTGAACCCTGGTTTTTGGTCTCTTCCTCTCCCTCTTTCCTGTCATTTAAAGTTACCAACAGGTAATGATGAATCCTACAGTGTGATCACCTATGTACCTGGTGCTGATAGTCCTACTGGTGAGCTCTTTTTTGCTTTACAGCTACCTGAATACATTAAGGTGTATACTATATATTGTATACTGTAAAAGTTGTATAAGCTTTTATAACAATGTAATTGAAAAAGCACCACAACAACAAACATCATTTTAGCATATTTACACCAGCACTTGACCCAAAAAGGGGCTGTTGTTTCCATAATATATTTACTGCCTTGTGATACAGGCAGGTATGTAATCACTGTGGACTTATTACAGAATTACGGTCAAATTCCTGAAATAAATTGGGTGGAGTATACTGCAGGCTTAATTTAATCTACATAAACCTCACTTCTATGTCTCTTTCTTTTTATAGATGGTGCAGTAAAATGTCAAACTTGACTAAAACAATAATCTTACTGTGTAGTTCTCTTACTCGCAGGTTCTGGGAAACTCAACATTCGAGAGCCTCAGAATGAGGATGTGAGTGAGACATGAGGCGCATTATTGAATTTATTTGTTTTATAGGTTTAAAGACATTAGAGATTTAAAGAGCTCTTACATTTGGTGTCTTTCTTTTCTAGTCTGAAATATACCATGTGTACGCCACCATCTCTGACGAGCCAGCTGCATCAGCCCTGAAGGAAATGGTGTACAGTACCTCGCAGCTACACTGAGACCTGTACAGACCAACAGAAAGCAGCCGAAAGAGCTGTTTTTAAAAAATGTGTAATTTTTTACCTTGTTTTTTATACTGTATTCTATGACCTGACGGAGGGGAATTGATGGTAATATATGTGATCTGGTGTTGACCTGCAATGAGCCTTTGATACAGGCAACTATGGAGGCCCTCTCTCCAAACTAAAGGCAGTTGGCATGAATGATACAATTCTCAGCTTGGTGGCTTTTTATCTGTCAGAGGAAGACCAGGAGGTTAGAGAGTATCTCTATGAGCCTTAAGATGTCACTAGAGAGTACCACAAGGCAGCATCCAGGGCCCCCTTGTTTTTATACTATAAAGTCTGCATTTATACTTTGTCTATCTTGTAGTCTAAATTGATTAAGTGAAGGAATAATTGTGACTTGGACATTACAGTAAGACTGATAGCGTCATCCTTGGATGTGAGTCAAGGAGTCATGATGGGAAGTGATTTTGAGTGTGTTTACATGAACATGAGTATGGCAGTTATTCAGGAGATGATGTTTACATGGAACACAAAACACAGAAATCTTATAATAAATACTTCTGTAAACATGACATGATAAACATGTCTGTATCCCGATTACTGATTAAACAGTAACACAGTTTGCACAGGTGCATGTGACGTTTATAAACATAAACTATTAGTACATACATTCATGTTAAATTCATTCTGCAGGAGAGCATGTTGGGCATGCTGAGTATGTTGAATCATTAATATTTGAATAAATTTTGTCTTAAAGACTTCGGTAACTATGCACTATAAATACACATTCACACATCAAAAATGTGTGCTACAGCCGTTATCTATTTCTCTTCAAAGTGGCTATTAGTACGTTTTCTCTGCCACTGAATGTGGGTCCTTGCTGGTTTCTTGGACTGTTTTGAATCAGTGAGTTGAACGTTAAATGTAAAACATGGTCATTGTGGTTTCTGTTTCTGTAGGAAGTGGGACTGTCACTTGTTTGTGGCCTTTATTATTCCAAAATAGAAAAATGGATATGGAAGTTTGAAGTGGTTGTGATTGGTTTTGGTGGAACTGTGAGAAACAGTTTAGAAAAGGACAGGCGCTTTTAAAAAACTACTTAGTTTGTGATAGATTGTATCACTGTCTATCACAGGCTAACTTCAACCAATCAGCTTCTGCATCACTCCCATATCTTATTTTTTTAACTACCCGTGGAAGTGAAGCACAAAATGACCAAAATTGAGACACAAACCAACCTCTTTCAATCTGGTTGTCTTGCTTTTATATAGGGTGTCATAATCTTGTTGTGTCACAATCTGTCCATTAACTTTATGGTGTAGATTCTTGGTTTAGCAACTGCAAACTTTTGAGTCTCTATACTTACTGATATTGCATGAAGAATGCTGAAAGGAACCTGCTTTAAATGGCCCTGGATGTTTTAACTACTACAGAAGCACTGTTATATTTTGACTGACATGATAGTATGTAGGTTCAATTACAAAATAAAGGTTGAAATATATCACGTGTGCTGGGGTTGTCAGGAGCTGAATATGTTTCTGTGGCCTCTCTAAGTATTATTAGATTCTGATGCTTGCTGTGGTTTTTCTGAGGGCGGGTCTTGCAAAAATGCTTCTTATGTAGGTCAAAGTCAGACAGGTTTAGTCTTTTGTGGGGATTTCATGACAGTCACAGTATTCAGCTTCATCATGGCTAGACAGCTGCTGTTTGTCATCCTCATTTGTAAGTTAAACCTCCTATCTTAGACATTTTCTCATCATTAATTTAGGTTCTTACACAAAAATACACATACACTTTTCCTTGCGAGCATCAAATTAATATGTAGTGTCAGCCCTTACGGAGCACTACCTGTATAAAATGTTGAATCATTTTTACAGTTGATTGACACAATTGCACGTTAGTTGGAGTTTTAATCTTTCAACATTTCATTAAAATTGTTGATGAGTTATAATTGCAGCTTCTCACTTGTTAATATATTGTTTTTCAAATAGATTCTTTTGATGAGATCAAACTACAAGGTCAGTTCCTGATCTTAATATTTGTTTTAATGTCCATCTGTAATGCTATTATACATATTTCATACATATTTATTAATCTCTACCTTTTCAGTCCTTCTTCCACCTAAACTGACAGTGAATCCACTGGTGATCACAGTGACACGAATCAAGCCACATTGAACTGTCATGTCTTCTTCTTCTGTGTCTCAATGCTATTTCTTCACGGAGAACGGAGAACTGTCAGATACTTTCCTTGTCTGCAGAAACTGACAGGGATTGAGCTTCTATCGATGGCGATCAGCGTTCACCTACTGAGGTTGAAGTGAAATGTTATTACATTGAAAGGTTGGAGAGAGAAATTCTTCATCTCCACAGTGACAAAGCCTCCATCACCATAAAGAGTGAGTGAGTTTACTGTCAGTACTGATGTTTATATCTTGCTACAAAATCATTGCAAACAAACACACTGATGACTTTCAGTATGGAGGTCATGTTCTATGGGACAAGATTTTTAAGGAGCATCAGATTTCTATCAAACTAATATTTTACTACAGTTCATGCATGCAGCCACAGGGCTTCCTATGCTGTGATAAATATTTTCTTTTATAATTTTACAAATGCTTAAATTTCCAGGGTTTCCTAAACCTAAACTGACAGTGAATCCACCGGTGATCACAGTGACAGACACAGTCGATCTGCACTGTCAGACTTCATCTGTGGCTCAGTGTTTTTTCTACATTGGAAAAACAATCAATGACTTGCCCTGTCTGACGAAACTGTCAGGGACTGAGCTGCTGCACATGGCACATCAGAGTCCACCTACTGAGGTTGAAGTGATATGTTATTTACCGTGTTGGAGAGAGAAATGATCCTTCTTCATACAGTGACGCATTCTCTGTCACCATAAAGAGTGAGTGACTGATTTACTTATTTAACAACCCTAATTTCCATTAAAATGTCACATGTACTAAAGGAGCTATTTGCAAGTTTTGCTATTGCTACATTGCCAATGTTAGCATTAACACCTGTTTACTTACCAGTCTTTCCAAGAGCTTCATCCATCGTTACATTTACAATACAAGAGGTTATAATATTCCCTCTGAGAGGCGTTACTTATTCAGGGCAGAGAGGACGCTACAGTGACTCGGTATCAGAAAGTAACAATATGGTCCAGCCAGGGCAAGGCTAGCTGGTTAGCATGCTAACTCCAGTAGAAGAAAAGAAGTGATAGATATAGAAGCAAAAAGGGAGTGTTGCTTTCCACCGCTGGAGACAGCTCTTGGCGAGTAAAAAAAATAAAGTTTGATGCTGAACTTGCAGCGTTTCTCCTAGACTTGTAAGTAAACTGCTGTTAATGCTAATGTTGGCTATGTAGCAAGAGCAAAACTTTCAAATAGCTCCTTTAATAAGTGTTGTATGACAGAAGGACTTAAAATGCAGATACAACATACTGTATAGTGTACTTCATTGCAGAAAACAGACACATGTGCTACACTACTACAGCATATCCACTGAAATAGATTCATCAATGTGTAAAATTAGACAGACACCATGGAACAACTCCATCCATTATATCATTTGAAAAGTTTAATTGTGACATTGTGAAATCAGAATCAAATTTCAGTATCCATAATAAAAACATTGAATCAAAAACATCCATGCACATGGACATAATTGTAATAAAAAGAGGCTGTTCTCTGGTTTCTAGTTTTGTTAATATAATTGCTGAATTGATTGCAGAAATGCACTGTCCCACATAGTTGCCCACATATGAAACTGACAGGTCCAAATCCATCAGCCACACAATGCAGAGTATGCCAACATTTATTATGACCACAAGTAGAACATGATATACAGCAAACATTACCCCAAACCACTTATATTTGTTATTTTGCTTTTTATTCACCAGATCTGATTGTTAGTGGGTCTCGTGCTCCCACTCCTGTAACCCCTGCAAGCCTAACATCAGGTAAAAAAATTAAGTGTGACTTGAATTAACCACACAGATCATATGTGTTTGTGAGTATTATGACTATTTTGAGATGTTCTTTTGTTGATTCACAAGGTCAGACTGTTGGGAAGCAGAGTAACCCTGGTAGTACCATCTCTACTTCCCAAACATCTATGAAACCAACATCAGGTGATATATTCAGTTTTTACATGATTCGTTTGAAAATGTTGATATACAAACTCTAATATTCACATGTAAAACATTAGATGTGTCTATAAAAAGTAAATACTGAAGTAATAGTTGCTGACTGGTTACTCTGATAGTGTGTGATGGGTATGCAGCTGTTTATCCATTTGTGAAGTTAGCCTTGCTATTGCACAGATGCTAGCCGATATTGCTCAAGGAAAATTACATTGTTAAGCAGTACATGACAACAATGTACTACTTAATATTTGTACCTCTTACCACAATGGAAGAAAATATATAATTTAACATCAGTATGTTTTTGTGATTTAAAGAAACAGATACTGGTATGACTCCTATGAACCCAGAATCTGGCGATGAAACAACAGGTACTGTTGACTAAAGATTCTTATTAGCGCATCATAATGCTAACATTGCTGTAGATGTTTTTAAAAAAAATTTGTGGCTGTGTACTTACTAGGTTCGAGTGTTAGTAAGCCTGGCACTAAAGATAGCTCTTTTCCTTTAACCCCACTGAAAAGACCTTCAGGTGAGTACTAAACCTAACATACTAATATGTTGGTTTTCCTCTTGGAAATTTGACACATCTTGAGTTAGCTTGAGCTGTGCAAATTGCACGCCTAAGTTACTTCAGAAATTGGGGGTTAAGAGATGGCAAATATTCATATTTTAAAGTTGAAATAGTTACTTTCCTGTGTACATTGCTGTAGTGAAAAAATAAACTAGTTAGTGTGGTTTGGTATTGTGGCAGCATAACTGTAGTTACACACACATCTTCCTGTTTTTTTGTTAATGTAAGAGATGAAACTGACGATTGTTTATGGCTTCTGTTGTTTCAAAGCACAAACAATGTTATGGATGTTGACAGTTGTGACTGGTTGTGGAGTAGCTCTGGGTGTCATCATACTACTATCAGCAGTTCTCAGGAAGCAGAAAAAAGCTGGTGAGTTCGTGAAGTATTTCCTGACAAAAACCTAAAATCTTTTCCCGTCCCTTTCCGAAACAATTGTTTAAAAAAAAAAAAAGTAAAAATTTCCTGACAAAAACCTAAAATCTTTTCCCGTCCCTTTCTGAAACAATTGTTTAAAAAGAAAAAAAAAAAAAAAGAAGTAAAAACTGAAATATCACATAAGTGTTCAGACCCGTCATCAGGACAACCTTCACTGCAGCGCTCCACCAGTCTGGGCCATGCTTTGAGAAACAAGAATCTCTGGAAGAAACCAGACATGACACTTGGAACTGGTTGTCCTCCTGGTCAAGGAGAAGTGGTTAGGAAAGGAGATTATTTTGACTTTTCGGCCGCAGCCTTGATTTTTATCTTTGATATGCACTGTCAGCTGTGAGACCTTATATAGACAGGTGTGTGCCTTTGCAAACCATGTCCAATCAATTGAATTGACCACAGGTGCACAGGTGGAAATGGGATGAACCTGAGTTAAATTTCAAGCGTTATAGCAAATGGTCTGAATACTCAATGTGATATTTCAGCATTTTCTTTTTTGATGTTTCCATAAACCTGCAACATAACAAAATGGGAAAAAATTGAAGATGTCTAAACACCTTCTGAAAGGATTTTATGATCAGAATAAGCAAAAGACTGTGAGGGAGCTCTCAGAGAATCAAATGGCAATCAATTTTAATTAAATCAACGATATCAAATTGAGTCCATAAAGCAGAGGATGTGGCAGTGGAAGCAGCCGCAGCAGCAAACATCATTGGCATGAGTGTATCAGCACAGCTACAGTGACGCAGTACATTAGGCCACACAGCTGGTGAAGGAGCCACTGATGGTGAAGCATTAATTAAACAGATAACATTTTAGTGCTCGGCCTGAACTAACACCGTGCTTCACTGGGTTAAAATGAGCCACACAGTTGTCCTGTACATACAATCTGGCATTGGTCTTAAAAGCCATTTGCAGTTTGCAGGAAATATTTGTTGCAGTTTCACTTTTTCTTCAGTTGAACAGAGTTCACATAGAGTCACAGATACTAAAATAACCACAGCTGTAAAGTAATAGCACGCATACAGTGAAGATGTGACACTTGCATCTCAAATTCAAAGTAGATCATGCATGTGGGAGGCACCGACACAAAAATGACTCTATTTGCTTGGGTGTCACACTGTATTTCACATGTGAGCTGCTGTACAAGAAAAGATGGTGATGATATATACAGTGTATGTGCCAAACTTCATGGGAAACAATCATCTTACTGTGTGTGTCATTCTCACTAGCAGGTTCTGAGGAAGTTAAAAGTCAACAGTCTCAAAATCTGAATGTAAGTGAGACATGAGGAACAACATTAAGTCTATTCGCCACAAATATTAATAGATGACACAGTTGGTTTCTGTCTTTTCCCAGTCTGACACATATCACCTTTACTCCACCGTCTCTGAGGAGCCAGCTACATTGGTCCTGGGAGGCATGGCGTACAGCACCGTGACGGCACACTGACACACAGACATCTTTTCCTGCACAAAAAAAGATGAAGCCTAAAGAACTGTTGGAAGTGTAAAACTTTTGTTTAGAGTTGACCAGCGTAAGACAGTAGGCCACAATAGTGTAATGTTAGACTCCTATAATGTCTTTTTCTCACATCTAGCAAACCAAAGTTTTACAGCAATTTATCTGTAACAAGCACAGCATGTAAAAAATGTATGACTATGGCAAAATAAACATATGCCGTTACAACTAGCTGCTTGTGGTACATACATTATATGTTTTCACAGTTTTCACCCACTGTTTCCTCATAATACCATACTTTGAATTGCCTTGTGTTGTTTCATATTCTGAATCTATGTATTGTTATACAGATAATCTCTTTTGGTCATATTAATTGTTCCATGTCAGATACTACACAACTACACAAACTAGCATCACCAACATGGACACGTGCACGCACACACAGTTTTTTTTTGCCTGCATTTCAGAGTACATTATAATAACAATAATTTCCTGGAGACTTAACCTCACCCTAACTATAATCACTATTTGCATGATCCTGGCCCTAACTTTAACCTTAAACTTAAGTTAACAAAAGTTCAAATCGGAAGTTATTGATGAGTTATTATTGCATCTATTTCTCTTCAAAGTGGCTATTAGTACGTTTTCTCTGCCACTGAATGTGGGTCCTTGCTGGTTTCTTGGAGAGTTTTGAATCAGTGAGTTGAACGTTAAATGTAAAACATGGTCATTGTGGTTTCTGTTTCTGTAGGTAGTGGGACTGTCACTTGTTTGTGGCCTTTATTATTCCAAAATAGAAAAATGGATATGGAAGTTTGAAGTGGTTGTGATTAGTTTTGGTGGAACTGTGAGAAACAGTTTAGAAAAGGACAGGCGCTTTTAAAAAACTACTTAGTTTGTGATAGATTGTATCACTGTCTATCACAGGCTAACTTCAACCAATCAGCTTCTGCATCACTCCCATATCTTATTTTTTTAACTACGTGGAAGTGAAGCACAAAATGACCAAAATTGAGACACAAACCAACCTCTTTCAATCTGGTTGTCTTGCTCTTATATAGGGTGTCATAATCTTGTTGTGTCACAATCTGTCCATTAACTTTATGGTGTAGATTCTTGGTTTAGCAACTGCAAACTTTTGAGTCTCTATACTTACTGATATTGCATGAAGAATGCTGAAAGGAACCTGCTTTAAATGGCCCTGGATGTTTTAACTACTACAGAAGCACTGTTATATTTTGACTGACATGATAGTATGTAGGTTCAATGACAAAATAAAGGTTGAAATATATCACGTGTGCTGGGGTTGTCAGGAGCTGAATATGTTTCTGTGGCCTCTCTAAGTATTATTAGATTCTGATGCTTGCTGTGGTTTTTCTGAGGGCGGGTCTTGCAAAAATGCTTCTTATGTAGGTCAAAGTCAGACAGGTTTAGTCTTTTGTGGGGATTTCATGACAGTCACAGTATTCAGCTTCATCATGGCTAGACAGCTGCTGTTTGTCATCCTCATTTGTAAGTTAAACCTCCTATCTTAGACATTTTCTCATCATTAATTTAGGTTCTTACACAAAAATACACATACACTTTTCCTTGCGAGCATCAAATTAATATGTAGTGTCAGCCCTTACGGAGCACTACTTGTATAAAATGTTGAATCATTTTTACAGTTGATTGACACAATTGCACGTTAGTTGGAGTTTTAATCTTTCAACATTTCATTAAAATTGTTGATGAGTTATAATTGCAGCTTCTCACTTGTTAATATATTGTTTTTCAAATAGATTCTTTTGATGAGATCAAACTACAAGGTCAGTTCCTGATCTTAATATTTGTTTTAATGTCCATCTGTAATGCTATTATACATACTTCATACATATTTATTAATCTCTACCTTTTCAGTCCTTCCTCCACCTAAACTGACAGTGAATCCACTGGTGATCACAGAGACAGACTCAACCACATTGAACTGTCAGTCTTCTTCTTCTGTGTCTCAATGCTATTTCTTCACGGAGAACGGAGGAACTGTCAGATACTTCCCTTGTCTGCAGAAACTGACAGGGATTGAGCTTCTATTGATGGCAGATCAGCGTTCACCTACTGAGGTTGAAGTGAAATGTTATTACATTGTAAAGGTTGGAGAGAGAAATTCTCCATCTCCATACAGTGACAAAGCCTCCATCACCATAAAGAGTGAGTGAGTTTACTGTCATGTACTGATGTTATATCTTGCTACAAAATCATTGCAAACAAACACACTGATGACTTTCAGTATGGAGGTCATGTTCTAATAAGTATGGGACAAGATTTTTAAGGAGCATCAGATTTCTATCAAACTAATATTTTACTACAGTTAATGCATGCAGCCACAGGGCTTCCTATGCTGTGATAAATAAATCTAATGTTCGAAATGTTTTGAAATAAATGAAGTTCTACTTTTATAATTTTACAAATGCTTAAATTTCCAGGGTTTCCTCCACCTAAACTGACAGTGAATCCACCGGTGATCACAGCAACAGACACAGTCGATCTGCACTGTCAGACTTCATCTGTCCCTGTGGCTCAGTGTTTTTTCTACATTGGAAAAACAATCAATGACTTGCCCTGTCTGACGAAACTGTCAGGGACTGAGCTGCTGCACATGGCACATCAGAGTCCACCTACTGAAGTTGAAGTGATATGTTATTACAGTGTAAAGCTTGGAAAGAGAAATTCTCTTTCTTTATACAGTGACGCATTCTCTGTGACCATAAAGAGTGAGTGACTGATTTACTTATTTAACAACTTTAATTTCTTTTAAAATGTCACATGTACTAAAGGAGATATTTGCAAGTTTTGCTATTGCTACATTGCCAATGTTAGCATTAACACCTGTTTACTTACCAGTCTTTCCAAGAGCTTCAGCCCTTGTTACATTTACAATACAAGAGGTTATAATACACTGTTACTTATTCAGGGCAGAGAGGACGCTACAGTGACTCGGTATCAGAAAATAACGAGACGGTCCAGTCAGGGCAAGGCTAGCTGGTTAGCATGCTAACTCCAGTTGAAGAAAAGAAGTGATAGATATAGAAGCAAAATGGGAGTGTTGCTTTCCACCGCTGGAGACAGCTCTTGGCGAGTAAAAAAATGAAGTTTGATGCTGAACTTGCAGCGTTTCTCCTAGACTTGTAAGTAAACTGCTGTTAATGCTAATCTTGGCTATGTAGCAAGAGCAAAACTTTCAAATAGCTCTTTTAATAAGTGTTGTATGACAGAAGGACTTAAAATGCAGATACAACATACTGTATAGTGTACTTCATTGCAGAAAACAGACACATGTGCTACACTACTACAACATATCCACTGAAATAGATTCATCAATGTGTAAAATTAGACAGACACCATGGAACAATTCCATACATTATGTCATTTGAAAAGTTTAATTGTGACATTGCGAAATCAGAATCAAATTTCAGTATCCATAATAAAAACATTGAATCAAAAACATCCATGCACATGGACATAATTGTAATAAAAAGAGGCTGTTCTCTGGTTTCTAGTTTTGTTAATATAATTGCTGAATTGATTGCAGAAATGCACTGTCCCACATAGTTGTCCACATATGAAACTAACAGGTCCAAATCCATCAGCCACACAATGCAGAGTATGCCAACATTTATTATGACCACAAGTAGGACATGATATACAGTAAACATTATCCCAAACCACTTATATTTGTTATTTTGCCTCTTATTCACCAGATCTGATTGTTAGTGGGTCTCGTGCTCCCACTCCTGTAACCCCTGCAAGCCTAACATCAGGTAAAAAAATTAAGTGTGACTTGAATTAACCACACAGATCATATGTGTTTGTGAGTATTATGACTATTTTGAGATGTTCTTTTGTTGATTCACAAGGTCAGACTGTTGGGAAGCAGAGTAACCCTGGTAGTACCATCTCTACTTCCCAAACATCTATGAAACCAACATCAGGTGATATATTCAGTTTTTACATGATTCGTTTGAAAATGTTGATATACAAACTCTAATATTCACATGTAAAACATTAGATGTGTCTATAAAAAGTAAATACTGAAGTAATAGTTGCTGACTGGTTACTCTGATAGTGTGTGATGGGTATGCAGCTGTTTATCCATTTGTGAAGTTAGCCTTGCTATTGCACAGATGCTAGCCGATATTGCTCAAGGAAAATTACATTGTTAAGCAGTACATGACAACAATGTACTACTTAATATTTGTACCTCTTACCACAATGGAAGAAAATATATAATTTAACATCAGTATGTTTTTGTGATTTAAAGAAACAGATACTGGTATGACTCCTATGAACCCAGAATCTGGCGATGAAACAACAGGTACTGTTGACTAAAGATTCTTATTAGCGCATCATAATGCTAACATTGCTGTAGATGTTTTTAAAAAAAATTTGTGGCTGTGTACTTACTTCAGGTGAGTACTAAACCTAACATACTAATATGTTGGGTTTCCTCTTGGAAATTTGACACATCTTGAGTTAGCTTGAGCTGTGCAAATTGCACGCCCAAGTTACTTCAGAAATTGGGGGTTAAGAGATGGCAAAGATTAATATTTTAAAGTTAAAATAGTTATTTTCCCGTGTATATTGCTGTAGTGAAAAAGTAAACTAGTTAGTGTGGTTTGGTATTGTGGCAGCATAACTGTAGTTATACACACGTCATCCTGCCGTTTTGTTAATGTAAGAGATGAAACTGACGATTGTTTATGGCTTCTGTTGTTTCAAAGCACAAACAATGATATGGATGTTGAGAGTTGTGACTGGTTGTGGAGTGGCTCTGGGTGTCATCATACTACTATCAGCAGTTCTCAGGAAGCAGAAAAAAGCTGGTGAGTTCCATGATAAAATAATAAAGCCTTCATTGACTTTTTTATATGGCTGGTCACACATACTGTTTGATAATGTGTAAACGTGAAGTATTTCATGACAAAAACCTAAAATCTTTTCCCGTCCCTTTC